TAGACCTCAACCAAAAGTGAGGTCAACACCAGCACGATCATGTTACCTTAGACAAGCTCAACCACCCCCTGTCAATGACACTTAGCATTGAGAACTTCGATCTTCAAGATGAAGATGTATCTCAACGGGCTTCTTCCTTGGAAGACTTGGTCCAAATCCCACTCTCTAAAGAACATCCCTCGAAAACTGTGCGGCTTGATTCCCTACTCTCTGATGAGCAAAGGTCAGAGTATATAGATCTTCTCCAAATGAACCAAGACATTTTTGCATGGACCCGACCGACATGTCTGGAGTTGACCCTGAAATAATCATGCACTCTTTAAAAATAGATCCAACCTTTAAACCGGTGGTCCAGAAGAAGCGCAATTTTGCCTCAGATCATTTACAAGCTATTGAACAAGTAGTCAACAAGCTTCTCGAAGCAAAGCTCATACGGGAAGTACACCATCCTGCATGGCTGGCCAATGTCGTCATGGTGAAAAAAGCTAATGGTGGAAAAAAGCTAATGGTTCATGGAGAATGTGTGTCAATTATACAGACCTCAACAAAGCTTGCCCAAATGATAGTTTTCCCCTCTCGCGCATAGATCAACTTATTGATGTCACGTCTGGACATCAGATGCTAAGCTTTATGTATGCATACTCGAGATACAATCAAATAAAGATGAACCCAATTGACGAGGAGACCACCTCTTTTGACCACCTCTTTTCAAACAGATATTCAAACAGATAAGGGCTTATACTGTTATCAGGTTATGTCATTCGAGTTAAAAAATGTTGGCGCAACATATCAACGACTCATGGACAAGGTCTTCAAAGAGCTTCTCGGGCGTACAATGGAGGTTTATGTTGATGACATGTTAGTAAAAAACTTGGAATCATTGCAACACATTTCTCATCTAGAGGAGTGTTTCCAACTCCTTCGTCAGTATAACTTATGACTTAACTTGACTAAATGTGCTTTCGGGGTCACATTAGGGAAGTTTCTGGGATTCATGGTTGCTCATCGTGGAATTGAAACAAAAAAAAAAAAAACAAGGCGTTGAAAGAGATGGAGCCTTGCCTTCAAGGAACATCAAGGAGGTGCAACGATTGAATGTCGTATAGCCGCCCTATCTCGGTTCTTAGCTCGTTCTGGAGATAAGTATCTGTCATTCTTCAAAATACTAAGAGGAGCTCAGAACACTAGTTATCAATGGAAAGATGACTGTCAGATTGCTTTCAGGAAACTTAAGGCATATCTGGCTTCACCGCCTCTTCTCTCAAAATTCATTCAATGGGAGATGTTATATATCTATTTAGCTATTTCACTTCATGCAATAAGTTCTGTCCTTGTCAGAATAGAAAACACAATTGAAAAACCAGTATATTACGTCAGTAAAGTTCTCTCTGATACAGAAAGTCGCTATCTGATGGCGGACAAGACTGCACTAGGCCTGGTATTCTCAGCAAGGAGACTTCGTCCGTACTTGAAGCTCACACTATTGGCGTTTACACGCAGCTTCCTTTGAAGGCTATCCTACAAAGAGCAGAAGCATCAAGAAGATTAGTTAAATGGTCAGTAGAATTGGGAGAATTTGACTTTCACTATTTACCACGACTAAACATCAAATCACAGATGTTGGCCGACTTTGTGGTAGAGTGTACAGTGTCTACCTCTGATGAACCACTCTCTTCTCTTCCACGGTCACCTCACGGTCACCTCAGTGGATACTATAGTGGATACTATACGTAGATGGAGCATCTAGAAACTCAGGAGCTGGTGCATGAATAATACTCATCTCCTCAAAGAAAGACATTTTGGAGTACGAACTTCATTTGAAATTCCCAACCACCAATAATATTGATGAATATGAAGCACTTGTCCCCGGATTTAAGCTTGTCATCAACTGTGAAGTACAAAACATGATTATCTACATTGATTCTCAACTCGTTGCATCCCAAGTAGAAGGAGAATTTGACACTCATAATTCACAACTAGTGCAGTATCTCAATCTAGTAAAAACACTTCTCGCACAAATTGAAACATGTCAGCTCATTCATATAATTCGGGAACATAACACCTGAGCTGATGCCCTCTCCAAACTTGCAACTTCAACAACTGGAGATATCTATAAAAGAAAGTATATTGAGGAGATATACTTCCCTAGCATCTATGGCCCATGGGAGATACTGTCTATAGATGACTCAAGGAAGCCATCTTGAATGGATCCCATCATCTCCTTCCTCTGAGACGGAACACTGTCAGATAATGCTACTACATCAATTTGCATTTGACGCATGACTTCCAACTTCATCCTTATAGGGGATGAACTATACAAGAAGGCATTTGTACGTCTATATCTCAAGTGTCTTCATCCATCTGAAGCTGATTACGCTCTACGAGAAGTTTATTCCGGAATATGTGGGAAGCATCTTGGAGGCAGGGCACTTGCTCTTAAAATAATGAGTCAAGGCTTCTACTGGCCCACAATCAAGCAAATATGCATTAGAGTTTGTGCAAGAATGCAAGAATTGCCAACTACACTCCAATCTTACACATGCACCGCCAGTGGAACTCACTTCTTTTCTAAGTCCTTGGCCTTTCGCCCAATTAGGGGTAGATATCATTGAGTCATTTCCGATAGCTACTGTACAACGAAAATTCATCATCTTAGCTGTCGACTACTTCATCAAATGGGTAAAAGCAGAGCCGCTTGTCAAGATCACAGAAGCAAATGTCAAACAATTTTTCAGGAAAAATATCATCTATTGCTTTGGGCTTCCTACGAAGATTATCACTGATAATGAGACTTAATTCACTGGAAGGGTTTTCACATCATTCTGCAAGGACCTTCACATTCACTTTGTGCACATTGTTGTGGCACATCCCCAAACAAATGGACAAACAGAGATGACGAATTGTATAATGCTCAAAGGATTGAAAACTCAACTTGAGAAGGTTGGGGGGCAATGGGTAGAAGAGTAGAAGAGTTGCACAACGTCCCTTTGGGCCTATCGCAGAACCGCGCGAACTCCAACCTAGGAAACTCCATATAATTTATGTTTCGACACTGAGGTTGTTATCTCAGTTGATATTGGAGTTCTGAATCCGCGAGTTAAGACTTTCGACTCAGATATCAACGGGGAAAAGCTCCGACAACATTTGGATCTCCTCTCAGAAACACGTGATGTGTCCCATCTTAGAGTTGCTTCCTACCATCAAAGATTTGCTCGCCACTTCAACCGAGAGTCATGTCTCGACCTATTTCCATCGGTGACCTAGTCTTGCGTAGTATTGAAGCCCTCGTCCATGGTCGCCAATGCAATAAACTATCACCTCTATAGGAATGCTCATATATTGTGGCTGTCATGATCAAGCCTGGAACCTTTAAGCTCAAGGATTCATATGGGAAAATCTTGCCCCAAACTTGGAATGCAGAGAATCTTCACAAATATTATCAATAACACTCTAGTCATGTAGTCCACATATGTTATTACATTGCAACTCATACACAATGAATGTATCTCAAATATTATTCACTTACTTTCCTATACATAAAGGATATCTTTAGGATATCTTTAATATTTTTAGAAAGCATAATAGCTCATCCTCGAGTCATTTCATGCTCTTGAGCCGAGAATAACACAGCTTCGGTTGTATCTTAGTCAGAGCACGATCAATCCTAGGGGGATTTGATCTAACATCTTCCATATGGGTTAACATCGCCAAATTTTTACTCCAATAAACAACCCTGGATAAGTTAACAGTCCTTGGTGGGCTACACCTGACCCCTTCCACATAAGTTTGTAAGCGAACAATGCTCCAACAAACAACCTCAGATGGGTTAATAATTCCTTGGTGGACTTTCGTTAGCTCCTCCTATGCAGGTTAACATCATCGAGTAAAACTCTGATAGATAACCCCTCAGCCAAGTCAAACAAGTCAAATGTTGTTAATGATTTATCCCTACGGTAACCATCTCACATACTAGATCTTCTAAATGATATCTTGTATCAATTATGACATAAAATAAAATAAGTTTCAAGTTTATCACCAAAAAGATACTCGGGGGGCAAACAACTAACAAAACAAGCTTTTGACAAAATTTGAAAAGAATAACATTAATGTAGTTAGACCAACATGACAAAAGCAAATACACTACAAACATTAAAAGGAAGAGTAAAACACTAATTGATGTCAACGTTCTCCTCCGCCACTTCGTTGTCATGAAGAACACTTGTCATTGAAGAACACCTTATTCAGTTCACTATCGATGTCATCACCATCAGAATCTGAGGAAGGGTCCTCTGAAGTCTGGCGTGGAGTGAGCCCCTCAACAACAATCTCGGTTCGGAGTTGTGCCGCTCGACTCTCTTTCAAGAAACCCCGAATGAATCTTTCTTCGGTGAACCACTTCTGTTGCCCCCTTTACCTCAACATCAAGTACATGATCACAAGTTTCTTGGACATGGTCTCGAATGATAGTTTTGAACTTAAGCGATTCCATGAAGTTTTCGACCGCTTTACGCTTAACTTCTGAAACATCAATATCTTTTGTGGACCTCAAAAATTGAATCTCTTATTCTCGGGTTAACACCATCGACTTAAGGGCTTTCACGCTCTTATTACTTTCACGAAAGCTGGCTCGCGCTTCCACCAACCCCTCCCGAGTTTTCTCCAGATCCTGAAGCTGCAACGAGAGGGAGGTTACGAGAGACGAGAGGGAGGTTGTCATTGTTGAAAGTTTTGTCCTACACACTATCAACTGTGATTCCATAGATGCAATTTTTTCAACCCCAGATTCATACCAACGCTTGTACTCGTCTTGAAAATATTTGATCTTAACAAACTCAGAATTCTAGTTTCTCAATGCAAGTCCTAGTCCCTGTTGTTTTTCCACCATCTTATCCACTTTGAAGAAAAGAAATATGAGTTAGAGATCAAATAATTATACAGTAGCAGAAAATAAAAGAAACTTACAAAACTCTCGGCTTCGAGGAGTCCAGTACATTCATGAGACAAGATATTTTCAAAAACGTGAATAGTCGAAGGGCTTGGCAAATGCTCCTGTAATGTTTCAACTTTCTTTTGTTTCTGAGGCAATATTTCACATTCACTGCTCAAGGGCTAGCTCGAAAGGTCTCTTCTTAGATTTCTTCAGCGCTACAGTTGTTGACCATTCGGGGTGAAAAGAAAGCTAGACCTTGAATAAGGATTTCTCACTCACAAATTCATAAATATATTGTATCTCAAACAACAATTCCTTCATGTAAGGAAATCTCAGCATCTGCAATATTTCCTCTTTGGTAGTCTGAATAGAGATAAGCAATTGTGGGATTTGGCGCATTTCAGTATAATGGTGCCTCTAAAGACCCATATTGGCTTGGCGCATTTCACAACTAATATTGCGGGGTTTGGCAATTGTGGAAGGTTCTAATTTGAAGGCAATTGTGGGGTTCGACGCATTTCAGTATAATGGTGCCAAAATTCATATTAAAGCTCACCTGACACTGTTGATCTTTTTCAACTAATATTGCTCATATTTGACACAACACAATTTTGCATACTTCCACAACATAATTCATATACTTATTTTTGATTCATGATAAGAAAAAAATATTTCATATTCAGTGTTTTTTATCTTACAAAAACTCAAGTTATCTTAGAAGTTGTTATTATATTGTCAAAATATCAAAAAAATTCAATTTTAATTGTTGTGATAATATCTTTAGTTTAAGTAATTGTCATTTTGAAATAAAAGTTCGTTACTTAATAGTGCATATTGCGAACAATCCATGCGGATTCGATATTCGTGGCTTAATCAAAAAATCCTATATTACTTAATAACGTATGTATACTTGCGTAGTATCTCAATATATATTTAAATAAAAAAATAAAAAAATAAGAAAAAAAACTTTATTTTAGATAACTTTTATCTAAGATTAACTGATGAACTTCTACTAATTTTTTTTGTGAAAAAAAAAAGAAAATCAAATGTTCCTTCAATTTATATTCTCAAAATTCTATTAATAGCAGATACGAGTATACGACCGCTTTACCACTTTATTCGTCTTTCCCTTTCCTGTGAACCCCCTATGGCATAAACGATGACAGCGCACAATCTCCACTTGTGACCAAATCCTATACCAGATACGGAAACTGTTCCCAGGGCCAATAAGCCGTCCAATTTCATTAAGAAAAATAAGGGCAAAAAACAAAATAGGCTACGTTCAGTGTCCACCACCAAGATGCCGCATCGTCATCCTAATATTTAGCTAGTTGCCGAGGTCTTAATAGTCGCCCTTAGAAGAGGTTACCGATTCAGCTTCATCCCCTGCTTTTTAGTCGCATAAGTTCTAAAGATTACATTGGAAGAAGATAGAAAGATGGCCGGAGTAGTGGTGGCGCCGGTGGCCGGAGAAGGGAATACCTGCTGTGTGCATGCGAGGAAGGGACCCGGCTATGCCTCTCCGCTTGAGGCGATGAAGGGGCCTCCTGAGGCCTTGATCTATGTCACCTGCGTCTATAATGGTATCTCTCTCTCTCTCTCTCTCTCCACACGCTCATACCATAAAGTATACATGCAGATAACCTTCCTGCGGATTGGTTTGGTGGTATTGTGATGGTAATGTGATGAATCCTACCATGATATCACAAAAATATCACCAAATCCACATCTATCTACCACCTCCTAATATTTCTTCCACACCCACATATTGATTAAAAATTTGAATTGTGATTTTATGTTATATTAGGGGCATTTACATCTATACTACACAATTTTTATGTCTATATATCCTAAATCTTTCCTATCACATCAAAAAATCACTATTTTAAGTCAAGAAAAAAAAAAAATGAAATTATCCTTTTTGATATATGTAAAAAAATGATTTGAATCTTCCTTTATTTTATTTTAACTGAAATTTGCTCAATTCCTAAAGTTTGAAGTTGGAAGGGAGCATCTATCTATAATTTAAGTTTATTGGGGTGATTTGACTGCAGTAATTTACATGGTACAGATGTATGGATTATTCACAATGATTTAATTTCATTTGAGTTGAAGGAAATAAAAAAAGTGGTGGAAAGGTTTATAGGTTGCTGTATGGCATGAGAATTTGGGGCATTTTAAATCATACTAATCTGATAAAGTTTAGAAATTTCAAATTTCAACCACACTATTAATTAAATTTACGGTTTCTGCCATTTAAAGAATTTAACGGTTTTAAGAATTTCTTCTCTGGCAATTCTTAAATGCTGAAATAAATAGTTAAACAAATTATAAAGGTATGCATGTAAATATAAATGGTTTTGGTATAAGCATGTACATACATAAGAATTGTGTGGTATTTATGTAAATGCCACAAAGTAAAATCCAAATAGAACAATGACAGCTCTCTGAAAGAAATACAACTATAGCTACAAAAGAATCCAAAAAATGTATTTAGGAGATTTCACTAAATCCTACTGGCAGCCAAACAACACCATAAATCAGGGATTGTGAATTCATAATCAACTACTTGAGAAAGAACTCATAACTATGCAACACAGGAACTAACAACCATGGCAATGGCAAGCCTGATTACTTAGCAACAGTGGATGTCGATCCTAACTCGCCAACCTACTCTCAAGTTATCCATAGACTCTCCGTTCCAAATATAGGTGATGAGCTGCATCACTCTGGCTGGAATGCTTGCAGCTCCTGCCATGGAGACCCATCTACTCACAGGCGTTTCTTGATCCTACCTTCATTGCTGTTGAGTCTTTCAAACCCACCCCCCTAAAACTTTATTTTTATTCAGATTTTCTCTTTTTATCTAACAAATTATGTGCAGGTCTAGCCGCATTTATGTTGTCGATACAGCGACGGATCCGAGAGCTCCTGCGCTGCATAAAGTGGTCGAGCCGGAAGATATTGTGAAAGAGACTGGACTGGCTTATCCGCACACCTCCCATTGCCTTGCATCTGGTGACATTATGGTTTCATGCCTTGGGGACAAAGATGGTAATGCGGCTGGGAACGGTTTCCTTCTATTGGATTCAAATTTCAATGTAAAAGGAAGGTGATGGATGATACTTCCTATTTCCTTCTTAAGATCAGTAAATTATGGGTTATTTTATCTCATTCTATGAAAGTGGGAACACAGGTGGGAGAAACCAGGTCACAGTCCATTATTTGGATATGATTTCTGGTATCAACCTCGACATAATACAATGATTAGTACGTCGTGGGGAGCTCCGGCGGCTTTCAGTAAAGGATTTGATCTAGAACATGTGGCCAATGGATTATATGGAAGGCATCTCCATGTATATGACTGGTCTGGAGCTGAACTGAAGCAGACATTGGATCTAGGAGATGCAGGGCTTCTACCATTGGAAGTAAGCATTGAGCTTGATTCAATTTAGCAGAGGAAAGCTTCTAAAAATTGATTTTTTTTCTTTTTTTCCCCCTTGATTTAATATCTGCAGATCAGGTTTCTACATGACCCTTCTAAAGATACTGGTTTTGTTGGGTGCGCTCTAGCCAGTAATGTGGTGAGATTCTTCAGGAATACAGATGGTGCATGGAGTCATGAGGTAAATTTTTCTTGGAGTTTAAAAAGTTTCGGGCTTTGATGTGAGAGTGCTGCTAAGAAGGAAACTTTTTGTCCAAATGATTCACAGGTGGCGATATCAGTGGAATCACTGAAGGTGAAGAACTGGATTTTACCAGAGATGCCAGGACTGATAACTGATTTTCTCATTTCGCTTGATGATCGGTACCTTTACTTTGTTAACTGGCTGCATGGGGATGTAAGGCAGTATAACATTGAGGAACCCGGCAAACCTGTGCTCACTGGGCAGGTTTGGCTTGGAGGATTGATTCAGAAAGGAAGTGCTGCAGTATACATTTCAGAAGATGGGACTGAATCACAATTTGATGTGCCTCAAGTTAAGGTTAGAAACGTAGTCCTGTAAATACTAATCTTTGATTGTAATGATATTTTGCATATTAGCTTCACAGAAGTCAAGAACGCACAACTTTTGGTTTTGATATCATCTATTAAATGAATTTCACATTCTTTCTTTATTTTCTACTTGACGATTGCAAAATTCAGTGATAAGAAAATATTTTTTTGTTTGATGGTGCTGCATTCATATTCAAGATCATAGCTTTTACTTGCTAGAATCAACTGCCTATTAATCTTGAGTGTCAAAAAAGTTAATCTAATTCCTCTATGAAGTTCCTTGGTTATCTTACAGAGATTTTAATCACTGAATTAATTTTCATCAGGGAAACCAGCTACGAGGAGGACCACAGATGATCCAACTGAGCCTTGATGGAAAACGACTCTATGTGACAAACTCTCTCTTCAGTGTGTGGGATAAGCAGTTCTACCCAGAACTAGTGGAGAAGGGGTCACACATGCTTCAAATCGACGTCGATATCTACAAGGGAGGGCTGAAACTGAATCCAAAGTTCTTTGTCGACTTTGGTGCAGAACCTGATGGCCCTTCCCTTGCCCATGAGATGAGGTACCCAGGAGGAGACTGCACGTCTGATATATGGATATAATATAAGGTTGCTTTGAAGGGTCAAATCATGAAAGCTTATATTGTTCATCAAAATGATGGCAAGAGAAGAATATTGTTGTAAACTTTGATAAGAAGTCTTAGTCATTCCCCTTGAGTTGAAGAATTCAGATCTTTTTATGAACAGTCTTTTGCTGAATAAAAGGAAGTATCAGCTAATTTTTTTAAAATAAAAGTCTGCTGTTCACCAGCAGATCTTTCTCTGTTTATTCCTTGGAGATTTAATGACTTGCAAGAGAGCCTTAGAAGCAATTTAACATTTTTAGCTGGGGATGCTTTTGGTAACTATTAATTATCACGCCCAACAAATGCTATGTCTTCTATTGGATTATTATTGATTTATCTTTATATCAGATCATAATATTTTAGTTTTTACTTAATTTACCTAAAAAATCTCTCACAACTTCCCCTGAAAAATATATAACACCTGAAGTTTACTTCTTACATTTATACCGCCCAAATCTTTCACATCACATCAACAATATCACCCTTCTAAATTTTAAAAAGTGAAATACACTTTTTTTTTCTTTTTGTTTTCATGCATAAGTTAGGTGGTATGCATGTAAAAATTGAAGTTTAGGAGTTGGATTTGTATATATATCCTCCAAAATATAAAGCATTTGATAGAAGACTGAAGACCATGATTTTGAGAATTTCAGTATTTTAGTAATAAAAAAAACAATTCATATTCGCAAAGATTTTTTCTGCAGTATGTATCAGAATGAACAAACAAACCACAATCCATACACCGCTTTATGCCTGCTTAAACAAAATCAACCAGAAGATAAAGAAGGAGCCCCAACCAACCTCACGGATTGAGACCTGTGTCAGATCTGTCTCAAACACGTCCGATAACGTTCGCCGCACCTCCAGTCGAAGCGCCTCCGCCAAGAAAAGATATGAATCCCGTCGCTGCGCCTCCTGGCATCTGGTCATCAAGGAACAAATCATCAGGCACACGGAATGCTCCATGAGCGGCTACGAGAGCGGCACCGATCATAAATGCAGAGATTATGAGGGATCCAACGGAGGTGAGGAAGACGACGAAAACGGTTATGCCGGACAGACCAAGCAGGGTTTCACGATCGGAGAAGGTGCGACCAAAGAGGACGAGCGGGGGATCAGATGGACGGAAGAGATAGAGGAAGCACCAGGATGCAAGCAATCCCAGGAGTACGACGAGGGAAGCAGGATGGGTGATGAGGGAGAGGGCGAGAACGGCCGCGATTAGGGCAAGGTAATTGACGCGGAAGTAGGCAAAATTCTTACGAACGCGAGAGTTTGCTTCAGAGAGAGACTCCGGGCGGGAGAAGGCCGATAGATCGACGAGCTCCGACCAGGGGCGACGGTCTGAGAGGGAGCGTCGGACGGATTCTTGAAGACGGGAGAGGAAGAGGCGGAAGGCCGGGGTGGCGACGGGAGCTGCAGCCTGCGCAGTGACGCCCACATCGACGGTGGAAGTTACGCCGGCTGCCGTCTGGGAATTGGAGATCGGGAGGATCGCCGGCGCGTTGGAGGAGTCCATGAGGGGAAAGAGAAACGGAACAGATCTCTCAGTTTCTCTTTGGAGTAGGAGAGGTTGATCGCTTGGCATGTTTTCTATGATATATATATATATATATATATATAGGAGGAT